AGTCAATGTATTTTATTAATTGCTCTGTATTGTTTCTTTTACAGAAGCTGATTGGCATTGTTATAAGTTAGAGTAGAAGAAAGCACTTTCAGGAACATTGCTGGTCCACCAACAATTAATCATGATAAACTTTTGAGGTCATTTCCTGGAGCAGTTGCAATTCAATCAGAAAGATGGGTAAGATATCTTTTCCTTTTTTTTATGTTTAATTAAATCTGCTCAAAGAGATGGAGGTGGCATTGTAGCCGGGGAGACAGAATTGATGCTTTTATAATAAAAATTTTGGTGGGTAAGTTTTCCTACTGGTGACAGAGATGCACTGGCAGATGATTGCTAGCATTCTGGAGTTAAGATAAAGAGGTCTGGGCTCTAGCTTTGGCTAAAGTCATTGTGTTGCAGTCTTGGTGTAGGCCTAAAATCCTAAAAGGTGGCCTAAAAATCTATCTGTACATTCTCAAAAGTGTCTTTAAACCTCATTTCATCCCTTAAAATCACAAAATATTTTCTTAAAGTCCAGACTTATCTCCAATTTTTTTAGAAATAATCACATAATTTGGATAAAATGTGAGATTCCAGTGGTGATATTGCATGGTAACAACTTCAAACTGACTCAAAATGATCATTTATTCATGAGACAATCTAAGTGGTTTGTCTCCTTACAGTTGGAATGTTTCTTTCAAACAATCAATAACAACAACCGCTGATTGGTAATATTTGTATGGAAGGAGCCTGTTTGCAAAAACTTCAATGAACCATGCAATTTTTTATGTTATTGGCTGTATTTGTTTTTTAACACCATCTTGACTTTCTGCTGATTAGCCAAGCTTTTAAACCAAGATCTTGTAGAACTTTTCATCTGACACAGGCAAAGGTAAAATACCCCAGGGTTTCACTAGGGCATGTTGAGGCTTGGAATTGATTGGTGCATTAAAATCCAAACAGAACTACGCCTTTTGAAATGGCTACATTTGATTCACATTTCTTAAGAGTATTAAGAGTAATCCTATAATAAACTCCTGTTAGAAATGGATGCAAACCCTTAAGAATTTGCAATTTGTGTTGGAGCAAATTTGTTGTTTTATAGATGAATTTTTGTAGGTTAAAGTTTAATGAATTGTCTCTGTAGCACATATTCTTAAAGTGGAGTTGGCTCACCTAGTTATCAATGGTATTTCAGGGTATGCAGATGGAACTGAAGCAAACCAAAGCTGAAAAACATTTCCAAGAGCATGGCAGCCTCTGTCGTTGACAACATTCTAAAGAGCTACCATGTTTTTAAAGATAGGCCACATTATGAAGGTAAAACAGGTCAGCATTAATTTTTGTAATACACCTGGATATTATTCTCCCCAAATATTCTCCCCATCCCCACCCCCACCCCCCTTTCTTCACTAACGTGAACATGTAAATGGACATTTCACATAACTGAGCTATTACAAAAAATAGAAGGTTTGGAAAACTTATATGTGTAATAGCTTATGATGAAATTGGCCTGAAATTGGAAATAAATAAAATGGAAATTGTTGATGTTGTTGTTAATGTTGTATTCAAAATCATTGAATGAAACTGGACTTATGTTTCGTTGGGGCAAATTCGAGTTGAGAAGAAGTTTAGTCTCCGTCAGTAACAAAATCAAAACGATGGAAAATCATTTATGCGTTTGTAAATGTTCCCGTAGTTTTTCTGGTAGCGCAAAATTCATTAAAGCAACTTATCTTTGAAACTTTTCTCAGTTTTGTCGTAGGCTAGTCCACTCACTACTTAGTTGGATTTTTACATGGTATCGCAGGAGTCTATTCTGGAGCGGGATTGTAGAAACACTCTTTCGGAAATCAAATAAAAATGCAGCTAAGGGGTTAAGGTCCCAAGAGAAATTAATGAGGAATATCTTCTTGAAGTCCTTGTAACACTAGGCTTTTCACAGTTGCTACATGAGATGACTTTTATGTGCTCACTAAAAATTAATTCTGCACGTGTTTAGATTTTCGAGGGAGCAAATTAATGGGTTTTGTTTTTTTAACTTTTTTGAGCTGCTACAGATCCAATCCCCGACTACATACAGGCGAGGGGACCGGTGGCACTAGAAGCGTACAGGAGAGCACTGGAGACAGGCGAAACCTACGATAGACGTACCAAAATTGTGTTGATTGGTCAGGACCGTGTGGGCAAAACAAGTCTGAGAAGGTACCTCAGAGGTGAAGCATTTGATAAAGATGAAGCTAGCACTAATGGGATTGAAATGATTTCCCCTGTCAAGAACGCAGGGAAAGGGGCATGGAGGAATCCAGAACTGCTTGAAGACACAAGTGCACTTGACCACAAGTGCGCAGAAGTGGTCGCACAGGAGTTACTCGGCAGCTTTAGAGAACGATCAGATGGGGCTCAACAGTTAACTGGAGAAGGTAAGAAGACGAGAGGCTCAGAAATAGGTGATGTTCTGGATGAAAAGAAAATAAAACAAATGCTTAGATAGAATACAATTAAAAAACAATAGGGAAATGCGAAACAAAAAGGAAGACGGAAAAAAAGATATTGCTAGCGCCTGGAGTCGATCCCTCGACCTTTCACGTGTAGGGATAAGCACTTTCCATGGCGCCAGTTTTGTAACGTCAACATGTCATTTTGAATGCGTTAAGCTCGTAAGGTTTCTGCCCATGCACTCGCGTGAAACCATGCGATATTTGAAGGCTTTTTTTGGCACTGGTCGCTGAAGGAGTGAACGAGTGTTTATTTCGAGTGAGGCGAAGCTTTTGTATATTTTTAGTTCTTATATACAAAATAAAAATTCAGTCACTAATATTAGCATTACTATTGCTTTGAACAACCGGTCCTGAATCATACTAAGCTTACCTGGTATTCTTCTGTATGTTGTTTGCACTTGAACAGCGTGTTTAAGAAACGTAATAACTGATTAAAAAATGTCAATATTAGTTTTCCAGGAAGTCGAAAGTGAGCAAAAACCAGAAGAAGTACCCACGAAAGTCCTTTCCCTCGTAGAGCGTGGCCTCAAGGGAAACGACACCTCGGACAATGAGGATATATGGCCTTTTGTTTGGGATTTCGCCGGCCAGGCAGTATACCATGCCATTCAACCAATTTTTCTATCGCAAGAAGCCATATATGTCTTAGTGTCAGATCTTACTATGGAGCTAAGTGCTCCTGCCCAATGTCGGATAAGACCGCCTAATCAGGATGAAATAGTGGTAGACTCGCCTTACGTCGAGGACACTAATCTCGATCACATGATGAGATGGCTGGACTTGGTGAACTCTTTGGGACAGCCAGAGCTTCAAAGAAAGTCGGCAGATACTAACCAAGTTTTGCCTCCAGTGGTGCTCGTGGGTACACATGCTGATGGTGTAAAGGATCCTTG